CAGGGCCCCCGATGCTCTGAGATGCCTCCCAAACCAGGAAAGCATCGACCCCGGCGTCGGCGATACATTGCCGACTATTTTCGACGGCAGGCTATGCTGCGCCGGGCTGCACAACAGCGCCACCACAGAACATCGGGCCCCATCGGGCCGCTGGGAAATCGAAGTCGGATCGGGCCAACATCGACAAAAAGTCGGATCGCAATTGACCGCGGGTGGTGGAGGATTCGATGATGCCTCGTCGTCTTACTTTCGGAGTCATAAGTCGGCTCTCCAGCGGCCGTCCGGGACGATTCGGCGGGCACCGAACGCTCCATGCGAGGCGCAGCTGCTGGAAAGCTGAGGGGGAACGATAGGGGGGCTCGATTGCGAAACAATCGTACGTTCCTGGGCGGGGTGGGCTATCCGGCCCCTGTCGGCGATGAATGGTAGACTGGGGATCGATGTAGTCCCCCTTGAGTCCTGAGGGAAACGGGCCCTGAGGTTTTTGGCCGTTTTCGAGCCCTCCGCGGGCCCTGGGGCCCCCACGGGCCCTGGGACCTCCACCGGCGCCTGGGACCTTCACGGGCCCCGGCCAAGCAAAAGACGACTTAGAATGAAGAGGCCCTCGGCCAAAGAAACAACGCATGGATTCAACCATGTCGAATCAGAACTTTTCCGGCCACAGCTTTACACAGCAGGCGTCCAGATGCGTTTTTCCCGCGGTGTGAAGCCAACCCCTTAATAGTTCAGGCAACTCTTGTGCCGTTGGCGACGCGATGCGATGAAGAATTGGTCCTGGGGGGAAGCCCCAGGGTCCGGGACCCGTTTCCCTCCGCTCGGCACCCGGGCGGTTCTCCATGCCACCTCCGCCAAGCCGGGCCTGTGACGCCTGAGCCCCCCTGCGTGGCCCTCCGCGAGGGGCTGGCGACGGCGAAAGTGCGCACCTGGTGCGTGCGGCGCACCTGGCACGCGCGGCGCACCTCGCGGGCGTCGCGGACCTGGCTGGCGTCTGCATTGGTTCCCAGTGGCTGCCGATGCTACCAGGTAGCATCGGCAGCTACCGATTGGCTTCCGATTGATTTCCGATGGGCGGCTCCCGCCTAATCATGCCAGTGATATCGTGGGAGGGCCGGTGGCCCAGTAGAGCCCAAGAGAGGCCAAGGGAGGCCCTAAGACGGCCTCGGGAGCGTCCCCGGAACACCTCAAGAGTTGACGGTTCCCGCTCCCGACGGGCGACGCTGTTAGGGTACTCCCCCCTATCGCTCCAAGCCAGCATCATTGGAACACACGGTTCATTCCCAGAGATTTTGGCATCTCAGGGGCTTCCTTGGCTTTTGAGTCAACATGGCCCCAAACTGGCCTCAGGGAATCCAAGACGGCCTCCGACATGACGCAAGCTAGCCCAACATGGCCTCCACGATGCCTCCAATATGCCGCAAGACCCTCATAAGGCGGCTCCGAGTGGCCACGGAGCCTCACAAGGATACTCACAAGAGATTCCAATCCTTCCAAAACCTACAGAACACCAATGACTATTGCATTCTCGCCTTTTCGCGATGGGCCTCTAAGGCTTCAAGATGGCCCCAAGGTGGCCAAACAAGCCCCCAGAGGAGCCCAAGATGGCCCCAAGGCGGCCCAAAGTGCTTCCGAGAGGCCCCCAAGAGGCCCTCAAGAGGACCCCAAGAGGGCCTCGAGAGGCGATTTTTCTGCCTGCGAGGGAAGGGTCCGAATTCAGAACCGCCCAATTTGAGTCATGGGGCCCAAGATCGTCCCAAGACGGCCCAGAGACCTTCCCAAAGAGCTCCAATATAGCCACAGAAAAGGCACTCACGTGGGGGTCAAAAAGCTCACAAGAAGGCCCCAAGATGGCTCCAGGACGCCCCCAACAGGCTGTAATAGCAAAAGATCAGCGAAGGCGTCCCTCTTCTCTTCTTCATTTTCTCTTCTTCCTACGACTCCCCCTTCTTCTCTCCTCCTGCTCCTGCTCCTGCTCCTCCTGCTCCTGCTCCTGCTCCTGCTCCTGCTCCTGCTCCTGCTCCTGCTCCTTCTCCTCCTCACCTTCCTCCTAATATGGCCCCAGGCAGCTTCCACGGGGCTGCTGAGACAGCTCGTGTGGGCATCGCTTCTGGCCGCGCCGGTGCGGATACTTTTTGGTTCGCGGGTCGCGAAGCAGGTAAAAAGTCGGGCAAAGCTAGCCGGTGGGAGTATTTTTTTTGGTTCGCGGCTCCACGGCGAAGGACATGGAGCGAGCACAACGTCCGGGGCGCGGTGCGTAGGTAATTGGCGCGAGATTGCCGCAGACTCCAGCGGACAACACACGCAGCGGCACATGCACATGCCAGGGACAAAATGCCCCTCATTGTGACGCATTTCAGCGTCTGCTGGTGACCGGCCCAGACAGCCGGGCTGGTGGGGAAGCAAAAGGCGCGGCAACCGGCAACGGAACGGGGAGGAGAAGTCGCCCTTGCGGCGCCAAGCTCCAGCCGAACCGTAAACGGAAGCGAGGCCAAGACGGACAGCAAGGCACTGTAAGAGCCGCGGGCAGAACGCAAGTCCGAGTGGCCAATGACCAGGCGGAACCCACGTGTGTGCACACAGATCCAGGCCGTCCAAGACCTCGGAAAAAAAGGGGGTGAGCGCGAGCGAGAGCAACTAACTCAGACTCGCTGCAGCTCCACGAGCATACGATGGTGCGGCGAGAGAGACCCGACTCACCAAGGCTCACTGAAGCTGAGGTGTGGCTGATCCGCGTCAGGGCGCCATCCAGTAGAGGCAGACCACTGGTGTGCGCTCACGAGGCTGAGCAGCTTCCAGCCGGTAGCCTGTGCGCTCACATCGTATCCGAATCACGCTGTTCGGGGGCACGACGATGCAATGTACTGACGAGGGCTGCTGGCTGTGGCTGCGCCGAGAAGAGCGAAACGAACTCGAACCGCAGAAGGCTGAACAACTCGATGCGGGGCCGTTCACTTTGACGAAGCCAATCACCAGGTGTATGGCGGACAGCCGCACCCACTCAACACCTGCCACGCTGCCCGTGCAGAAGCCGAATGGCTGGCAGCTGCAGAGCTGCTGGGCCGTACCGTTCGCTGGCGGCGTGGCGTGCTGACGGCGGGCCAAGACGTCCTTGTAGTAGACCCATGGCCGGGCCGGCGACGAAGGAAGGTGTTCGAGGGCAAGTCTCAGGACAGAGGGGGGGGCGCAGCCAAAAGCCGCTGAACACAAGTGTCAATGAGGGGTGTCCGAGCACCATCCAGTAACAGGCAGACCACTGGTGTGCGCTCACGACGCTGAGCAACCTCCAGCCGGTAGCCTGTGCGCTCACATCGTATCCGAATCACGCTGTTCGGGGGCACGACGATGCAATTGTACTGACGAGGGCTGCTGGCTGTGGCTGCGCCGAGAAGAGCGAAACGAACTCGAACCGCAGAAGGCTGAACCACTCGATGCGGGGCCGTTCACTTTGACGAAGCCAATCACCAGGTGTATGGCGGACAGCCGCACCAACTCAACGCCTGCCACGCTGCCCGTGCAGAAGCCGACTACCTCCGACGCCAGGGCGAACCGATGGCTGGCAGCTGTAGAGCTGCTAGGCCGTACCGTTCGCTGGCGGCGTGCTGACGGCGGGCCAAGGCGTCCTTGTAGTAGAACCATGGCCGGATCGGCGACGAAGGAAGAACCGCTATTCCCTAGGCAGGTCTCAGGGCAGACGCGCTTCTGGCGCCGGCGCAGTGCGATGGCGCTGTTGGGCAGGGGGGGGCGCAGCCAAAAGCCGCTGAGACGAGTGCCAATGAGGGGAGGAGGAGAAGGAGGGGGCGCAGCCAAAAGCCGCAGGACACAGATGAAGATGGGAACACAGGGCACCCATGCACTGTACCTCTTGTCCACGGGAGGGTGAGGCTGCACACGGATAGGCGAAGGTGGTGCAGGGGTGGGTTATTTCAGCCACCAACCACTGCCGTCCAAAGTGGCTGTGAAAGAGGTCGAGCGCAGGAGGTAAGTTATTTCAGCCACCAGTCACTGCCGTCCAAAGTGGCTGTCCTGACAGCGGGAAAGTGGGGCCCGGGGGGGTGACTGCATACGACCGGTGGGAATACGCGAAGCGCCAAGAATCTCCAGCAATCGCGCGGATGGGTGGCGACCCATGTCCAACATGTGGCCCTCGCCTCGGCGCCGAGAAGATTTTCCCTTGACCCCGCCGCTTTACGTACACACGAGGGGGCCGGCACCTCTTCAACGTACACAATCCCACGAACTCCTTCATACAGCACGAGCGTGAGGCTTCAAATGTTCAGCTGTTTCACGGATGGTTGGCCGTACTCTTTCACAAAAAGCGGCTCTGGTGTGCGACTTCCTTTGGTGTCGAGTTACGGTTGCGTTGCGCCGCCAGCACCGGCATGATTTGAACATATACCTAAGGAGCGGACATTTACAGACGACGACCGCGGTCTACCAGCTACAGAAATTCAGGGCGGCTCGTTTCAAACATGTGGCTTTCGCCTGGCGACCGCGCACACTCGCTTTTTCAGCGCCTTACGCTGCTACATGTACGGAGGGCTAGTTGATTTTAACATGTGGCGCTCGGGAACAGGAGGAAGGGGCAGGCAAAAAGGAGGGATGAGGGTGAAGCGGGAAGGAGGAGGAGGAGGAGGAGGAGAAGGAAGGGAAGGAGGAGGAGGAGGAAGAAGAATGATAGAACGACGAGAAAATCAATAATTAAAAACTATGTGAAGAACAACGACAAACTCGCTGCCCGGGCCGTCCAACCCGCCAGGGCCACGCTTTCCCCGGTACCTGCCAAATACCCAGACGAACCAGCAAGATAGATACGTCGTGGTCGTCGTCCTCCTCCTCCTCCTCCTCCTCCTCCCATTCGTCCTACTCGCCCTTCCTTCTTCCTCTCACTTCTACTCAATCCTCTTCCTCCTCCTCCTCCTGCTGCTGCCGCTCCTCCTCCTCCTCCTTCGCCCCTGTCCTGCTACGTGTCCTCCTGGCATCAGCGAAAGAAATGTCCATGCATCCTTCTCGAGACCCCGATTCTTCTTGCCTCCGCCGAAAAGGCTCTCGTAGTACTGCTGGATGTCGAGGTTCTCCTCGCACGCGGCGCTCAACCTCCTCCTCCCCATCCCCCCATCCTTCTAATTCCTCTCCCTTCTTCTCGTCCTTCTCCCTCCACCCATTCTCTTATTCTCATTCTCCTCTCCTCTCCCTCGGCCCCCTTCTCCTCCTCGTTCTCCTCGTTCTCCTCGTTCTCCTCGTTCTCCTCCTCCTCCTCCTCCTCCTCCTCCCTGCTTCTCGTCATCCCCCACACTCACCCCCTCTTCCCCTCTTGTCCTCGTCGCCGCCGCCGCCGCCGCCTTCGTCGTCGTCGTCGTCGCCGTCGGCGTCGGCGTCGGCGGCGGCGTCGCCGCCGCCCGCCTGCTTGCGCGCCTCGTCCATGGCCTCGGCGGCGCTCTGCCC